AAGCGGAAGGCATATAAAGGACTGACCACATTCTTGCAAAATCATCAAAACAATTAGAGGTGGTTGATTCCAGAAGGACTGGTCTTTAAATTTAAAGACAAAAGAGAGAAGACTCCATTTTCAAGGCACAAGACTTTTTGAAGAGACACGCCAGCTCAGAGGAAGAAGCAGAACTTGCTAAGTGGAATGTTTTTAGCAGCGACGATGACAGCAGCCCGGAGGGAGGAGACGGAGAACCGGAGGAAAAAGGAGCGGTAGGAGGTGCTTCCTACAACCTGAGAGGCAGACGCCCCAACACCTGATGAAATCTGAAAAGTGCTTTAAAGGACAATACTATTAATAACCCAAAAGGACATTACTAATATAATTAACCTTTTTATTTTTGACAGGTAAAGAAGAAAGATCGTCCATTCACGGATGAAGCTATGGAATGTATTAATACTAACAAAAGATTAATATACTAAATTACTCATCACTCACCACTATTCTTAATCCCTCTATATACCCTCCCTTTTTTCTGAAAATTTAAAAGCAATAAAATTCTCTCCTTTTAAGGAGAGTTTATTAAAAAAAGAAACGATAATGAAAAAAATCTATATGAAACAACCCAATAATAAAACAATCCATGTTGGTATTAATGACAAAAATGAAAGAAATGAAACAAACTTCCATACACAGGTCTAATGCTTTCCAGGTTTCCTGCAGAAATGGAAATTTTAGCTTATACATTAAACTGGTGAATCTATTGGATCTGGGTACCAGTGCTTTAACCTTTCCATCAGATTCTTAGGAAAGGGTGCTAAGGCTGAATGTGTTGGAAACATGGCACAAAGAACAGATAGCAGTAGTGTCCATTTAGTTTAAATGAAGGGTTTTCATTCATCACTACCAAGAACAATAAACAGTAGGCAGTTGTGGCTGCTTCCACTGAGCCTTAGATTCAATATTGAAAAGAAAGGAGATTAGCCATCATAATGGAAAGATTAATTTAAATCAGCAAAAGTTGAAAACAAAATAAGTGACATTAAGACTGACCTTTGTAATGTTGGCCATGATCATTAACATATTTCCTGTAAAAACATCTCCTTTCAAAATATCCATCAGAGTCTTTGTGAAACAAAGGGAGCTTGGTTTAACTGACTGGCAAGCATGTATTGTTGACGATCAGAAGTTCTCAGAACTACCTGCCCTTTCTTTCCTTTCAATGCTTTACGTTAAACACATTTTGTGAACTGGAAAAGGAGTACAGTTGCTTGCGGGTATTTCCTTGCATTTTGGTATATAAATCATAACTTTGCATTTTTGCAAATTCATTATATCAAAGAGTGGCATCCCAAACTGTTCAGTTATATAACCCCTATGACCATTAGTGGATAATTGTGTATGATCTGCAACATATTAATGGTCTTGACTAAAAAAGAAATCTAACTGGGTGTAGAAATTTGAGAACTCAGAAACACCATCAGTTTTAACTGACTTGTAATGCAACAATCCTCTACCCAAGTCTTATGGTTGGTCAAAGACAGATCTGTGTTGGGTTCACTGAAAATTGTGTAACATTTTCAGAGATATAATCTCCTTTTCTTTTAAAGTCTGTTAACATTAAATATATAATACTCATTAATTCATTGCAAGGGATCATAGGCCCATGGCAGAATCCATTTAATGAGTGTTACAATTGTTCTCCTTCCTTATAAACAGAGTTTTTGATAATTCAATGACTAACAGATTTATTAGCACATAGGTAATTGCTGGATTAGAATTTAACAACAAACCTAATTGTAATAATCAAACAGAAAATGTTCCAGCTGCTGTGAATCTTGGACTTCTGACTTTCGCAAAGAGATGTCATACACTGTACTTCTTGCATTTTGTGGTATTCTAACCCTCTGCAGGCAGTTCCCTCTGTATCAATTCATGTAGCAGTATCTGCTGATTAAGCACTCTGTTTCATCTGCATCTGTTATACTAGGCACTAGCCATGAAATCTATGCTATAATTAATCTGTTAATCTTCAAGGTGGTATGATACTACTTTGGAGCAGACTAAGAATTCCTTCCATATTGAGGAACTGCAATATCCTGCCTCCCCACACATTTAATTATTCAAAAGCAGGTTGCTTCTGTGCATGTGCTTAGGCAGGCTTTCAGACATAAGGGCTAAATCCATTACACCTTTCCTCCAGTGAAAAAACTTCAATTTCTGATTTTCTGTCTCCCTCATCCCTTCCATTGCCAACCGGTACCTCAAAGGTCATGGGTGCAAGGGGGGGATGGGGGTTCTGGTGTCACACAGGCACACAACGTCACTTCCAGCAAAAACTGTGACATTGTGATGTTAGGGTCAAAATTATACAGTTTAACCATATTGTTTTGGAGAATCCTAGGTCATCGCCCCGATGACATGCAGTCTCTCCCAGGTTTTTTGCCAAAAGTGAAATCACACATTGACATGACGCTTGCGCATGCATGCACACACACACACAGCTTAATTGCAAAGATTTGGCAAGTTATAGGACATTCTCACAGACATCCCTACTGTTGCTGCAAGAAAGTGGTCTAAGCCCTAAACAGGCCAGCTGTGAGTGGCAGAAGTAGGACCCTGAACGTTTTTTTGTCCAAGGGTGGGCCATGGGCAGTTGGGCTTCCCAGCATATGTGTAGCCCAGAGGTGCTGTTTTACTCACAGGTAGCCCTAAATAATGGGGCACCCCACTTCTAACCTGAACCAGAGACCCACAAACTCAGGTCAGGGAAGGCACTCCTGGCCTGAAACACAGAGCAAGCCAAAGCTCTGCAAAAGGGTTTAATTTCAGGAAATAAGGCAGCCCTTCAAAACAATC